CTCGTAGCAAACGCCGTAACAAAGTGAGGTCTCCCGCATAAGCTGCTTCCTCTAGTCTCGGATCCATGCTTAGTTACTCTGTCTCTCTCTCTCTCTCTCTCTCGATTTGGTCACAAACAACTCGAAGTTAGGACGCCTATATATAGGCTAAAAATCTCTAACGATTCCTCCCGCTCGGTCTTCTTGGTCCTGTCTCCATCAAGACGCTGGCCTTGTTGACGCAGTCGTCTCCAAAACGTAAGTTGCTTCCTCTCGTCTTGCATCCCATTGGTCTGGACTTCGCAGAATACTTTTCCTCGGCTTGCTTTCTCGTTCGCCGAAACTACCTAGAGAATGAAGCGAGACTGGGACAGTCGACGTGCGGTATTTGTGTTCGAGAACGTTGATGAAACAAGATGGACTTGCGATATAGCTTTTCCTAACTTTTCTTCTAATTACAATAATATCTTCCTAAAACCTATCTTCACTTAAATTTTTAATTAGTTTCAGCGAAACAGACCTCATCAACACCCTATATTTCCATCTGGCTGATGATACATCAGGAGGGAGGGAGGGAGGGACGGATGAATGAAAACAAGCTTGCAGACAAATCGACGCTAGAACACCTATATATGGAGGCTTGTGATTGGAGCAGTTCCTCCTTCTTGTACAGCCTGTCCTCACCGGACGCCGAAGACACGACTTGGTCATCGAGCTCACATGGCCACTGCAGTCCCGTTTAAACATCTTATCCCAAGGAATCGATGCGTTGCAAACGCAGCGAGGGAGACGAAAGCCGAACGACGAGTGGGATAGCAACAGCGTACGCAATTGTTCGGAGAAAAATTGGATGGATGTTTTTGCCGAAGTCATCATTTCATCGGATTGGATGCGGTGCTCACGGGACTGCATGCTGAACGCTTTAACCTAACATCACCTTGGTGTCCTGTCCGGCTTATCAACTTCTTCAACCCTACAGCGAGACTCGTGGGTCTCCATACCATTATCCCGGTCGTCCGTTTCCTTCAAGTTGTCCGGTTTCAACATTTTGATCGCTTTCTCGATCTCGTAGCTCATGACCATGCTAATTTTTTTTGGATGAATAATCACCCTTTTTTTTTTCTCGTCCTGCTTGGACGACTTTGACCTCTTCGGATTTTGCAGCTTTAGCTGATCTAATATAATCTTCTTTACTTTTCAACAGAAAAAAAAAGTCATCCACGCTTTGGGACAAGCCGAAATGGCTCGCTCCATCATCACTTTCCAAGTAGTTTCAGCGAAAGAAAGATGGGAGTGGGAACAAAAAATCTACACAGGACTTCTCCATTTCAATGATCCGCTGAAGAAATGTTTATCGATATATTAGCAGTCGAAATCTTTCATTTATTGTGAATATTTATTTGGATGGTACAAGTGGCAGAATTCCAATGGAATTAAGTGTGAACATTTCAATTTCTAGTATAAATAGTATCATTCAACCGATTACCAGCAAGTTTGGTAAATGGCAAGGCTCCCTTCTATCACAAGCTGGTTGTGTCACCTTGATTAATTTGTACTTAAACTCCATCCCTATACACTCCTTAAGTGTCTCCTTCTACTGTTATTAATAAAATCTCTTCATTAACCCACATATTCCTTTGGTCCAACCATGACAACTCTAAAGGTCTCTTTACTTGCTCTCTTGGGACACCATCACTTTGCCTAAGTTCATTAGTGGCTTGGGCATCAAGGACATGCACATAACCAAATATGCATTGCATGTCAAAAGAATTTTTTTATCTTCCTAATAGTGCTGATATCGTTTGGGTCAAGGTTGCTTATGCTAAGTATGACACTATCGAATCTTAGAGTGCCTCTTCCCCTTTCAACTCCAGTTGGTGTTGGAAGCTATTTGTG